TATATTATATTATATTATATATAATATAATTTAATTTCATAATTTTGCATAATAATTTAAAAGTTTAGGTTTTATTAAGTTTAAATTCATCCACTTTAATAAAAAGTTATATAAAAAAGAATAAGACTTAAAATAATAATCGAGAGATATCAAAGAAATGTTTTCGATTTTCTCGGTAAATCTAACGTTAAAGTAAAAATTAAATTCACTGAATATGCATTCTGAAATATGAAACAATTATCGTAAATATTAAAAAGATGCAAACTCGCGAAAAGATGCAACCTCGTTATCCTATAAAACTACGGAAGGGAAAGGATATTCAAACTATTAAAATGAAATAGTTGAAAGTCTTTAGATTTTTGCATGAGGTATTCTTTCAACCACAGGATATAATCCGGCCATTAAACGAATAATATAGAGAAGAAAGCAGAAAGAAATCGTAAAAGGAACCGATTGTACCATGGTCGCTATTTCCAAGAACACGGAATGTTTCGTAAATTGCGAAAGTTGGCGAATCGCGGGCATCGAAGCGTAGAATTTCGTCTCTTGGATCAAAAGGAGCGATTCCGTGGAGAAGATATATTCCACGGTCGATGACTTTTTCTGGAAAACCGATTTCACGATAAAAAGAACTGAATTTGCATGACAAACCATCGCTGAATCGTTTGACAACGGTACACTTTAATTTCGAGACTACGTGGTACGATGAAAGTCAAACTGTGTATAGTAAAAACAGGACAGCAAAAAAACGATGTTTTTTGTTTTGATTTGTGTAAGATTTTCTAAAGAGAAATGAAAAATACGTTACTCATATTGGCGGGCTGAGAATCATAGTGTAAGGTTGGACATATTTTATTTCAAAAATAAACAAATAATCATTTGAAATAATGAATTATTTTTATTTTACGTAAAAAATAATTTTATTTTATTCATTTTTATATTTCATTTTTGAATTATTTTCAAATATTTGAAAAAAATAATTTTCAATATAATATATCGAACTCAATTAATTAATTAATTAAAAGTATGGAAAATTTATATTTATAATTCTCTTTATTGTTTATTATTTGTTCTCAAAAGAGATGATGCAATTTATCTGTCTCTTTTTGCAATTTTTAAATATCTATTTATATTTCTAACATATGTATCTTCATTTTATATATGTAAAACATTATATGGAAATTTATATTTCAATAAAAAATAATATAGAAAATTATTTTAAATAAATTTTAAATAATAAAATAATATAAAAAAAAATTATTTATATATTTAAATAAATGTTGATTTCAAAATTATATGTATATGTATATTTGATATGTAAAATGTAGTTAAGAAATAATGTAAATAAAAAATTATTATTTTTCAAATAATTTATTTATTTTAATTAATTTATTTTGAATAATATCAAGTCTGTAATGATATAAATTCAATCTATAGATAGAAAATGATGGAAAAAATTGAATGATTTTAATTACTATAAATATGATATATGATTTTAGTTATTATAAATCATTTCATTCAAATATATTAAATATATAATATATAAATATAATATTATAAAACTTTTTAATAAAATATTAAAATAAAAGAATATGAAAATTTATAAATACGAATTTTTTTAAAAATATTTTATGTGTAACTTATATTAATATATGAGTCTATATTGATAGATATGAAACAGAATATTTCATTTGAAATAAAAATCATAAATAAAGAAACAAATAATTATTTTGAATAAAGTAAAAAATAAATTTATTTGAAATAAAAATGCTTGCAAATTAATTTTAAAATATTATTAGTATTCTTTTACAAAAATAAATTATTTTATAATTTACCAAATATTTTATTATTTCAAATAATAAATGAAAGACAATAAATAAATAATAAAGTTCTTTGCATATCAGGAACACATATTATATCTTGAATCACGAAATATATAAGGAAAATATAAAGAAAATATAGAAAATTTAAAATAACAAATATAGTTATTTACAATTAGTTAAAGATAGAACTAGAAGATTAAAAAAATAGCTCAGAATAAAAATTTCATTTAAAATTCTAACATAGAATATTTTTATATTTTTGTAGTAAAATTTTAAAATAATTTATTTTTTAAATACTTTCTTATTCAATTGATATTATAGAATGAAGTAAGCTAATAAATAAAAAATAAAATTTTTATTTGATTTATTATGTAAATGAAAGTTTATCTCAATAATCCAATCCTAATTCACGAAATTGTGATGATCAGTTTTAAAAAAAAGAAAAGCTTCATGTGATAATTTATTATATTTATTATTGCAAATTCAAATTTTGTTTCAATCTAAATAATAGTGTTACAAAATTTTTTTATTTTTATTATTTATTATTTTTATAAATCTCATTATATTGATATATGAGTTTTATAATATAAAATTTTATAATTTTTATGCAATATTTTGCAATATAATCATAATGAACTTCAATTGAAAAATAATATGAATAAAAATTTCCTTAATTAAATCATACATTGAATATAATTTTTATATATTAATATGATATTCTTAATTTTATATTACATAAGTAATTTATAAATTTTACATTTATTATTCATATTGAATTATGAATATGTACTATTATTATTGTATAAAATGTAATGATTATTATTATTTATCAACAATATATTTCATTATATTACAATTAATTGCGAATAGTTTTAATAAAATTTCATCTATTTATTTTTTTTTTTTAACAGAATTGTATCGGTCGAAACTATCAAACTTTTCGAAATTGTGAAAAAAACTTTATATATTACACAACCTGTGTTTCCAACTTTCTAAACGATCAACCGTAAGTTATTGTATCTTTCTTTCAGTTCGAACGAGCAGATTATTTCCGAAAATAGTTCAAATGGAAAGCTTGTGTTAAAGTACTTTCAGAGACGAAGTTTAAACTAATCGTAAATACACGATTTTTTGTGCATTGGCTATTCCTCTTCGAAGAAATTCAGTACAGTTAGTCATTCGAATTCGATGGAAAACATGCTAATTGCTTGAAACTTCAATTACTAATCGTATGATTTTCATCACATAAATTTAGTATTGAAAATAAAAATTATTCTTAATTATTTTAATTTAAAATAAAAATTAATTTAAAATAATTAAAATAAAAATTTTAATTATATTTTTTAAATATAAATTATATATAAAATATCAAAACTAATGATTCATTATTATTGATTATTATTGATTATTATTTTTCAAAGTAAATTGAAATAAATAATGATCTACATCAAATTATATTTAAAAAAATTATATTTAAAAAATGATTTGAGGATTGATATCATCTTTAAAATGATATTTAAAAAAAAGTTATTATACGTGATTGTATCTACAATTGTGACTGTAATCTAATGTACAATCACAAAATTTAACAAAGTTTAATTAAAAATAAAAAATTAACATTTGCTTAAAAAATAAAAATATTGGAATGCTTTTATGATCTGATTTGAATTATATATATTATAATATTTCATGAATATTGCGATTTATTTGTATTTTCTTGTTCATTATATTTTTGAAAATTTCAATTAAAGTTTTATGTTAAATATATAAAAAAATTGGATATAAATTTCTTTTTAACAAAAGAAAATTTATTATAAATAATTCTAAAGTTAGTTTACAAAAAACTAACAAACATCTCTTTTGTTAATTAGAAATTAATATGACGATATAGATGAAAATGAAGGAAATCTAGCTTAGTTCATAATATGTCGATAGTTTATTATCGAGAATTTCTACAGCTTCTCATAAAGTTTAATTGGCTTGCTCAGAAATTTGATATCTTTTAAATTATAAGTACGAAATATAAAATCTGTTTTCAATCACTTACATCTGTATGGAAATATCAAAGAAATATGTTTGTTTTTTAAATAATTTTATAGTATATTATAAATAACTTACAAATAAAATAATTTAATTAATCAAGATAGCATTTATTTGTTTTTTATGTAATGTTAATATAATTCATGAGATTTTGAAAAACAACAACAAAATTAAAACAAACACAAAAGTTAATATATAAAAATGTTAGCTAAATAATATTAGTTATTTATTGAAATTTTTGAAGAAATAAAATATTGATAGAATAAGAGAATCCTATCTTTATCACACTAATTTTTCATTCTATTTCCATCTTGCTTCATCTAATACTAATTTAAATTGCTTATTACTAATTATAATATTAATTAAATTACTAATTTAATAAATAATCATTTTATTATTTATATTAATATCCTGTATAATTTTAATATATTTCTATAATATTTATATCATAAATTTGATATTTATGCAATATATGATATATTATGTTCGTATATTTCTGTATTGAATTATATGACTATTTTTTTTATTAGTTTTATTAATTTTTCAGAATTTTATTTTTATTTTTTTTTTTATCTTGAATATTAATTTCATTCTTTTTATATAATTCATAGAAAAAATGATTAACATTTCTGAATGAACATAATAATTCTTTATGATTAAATTACAATTATTATTCTGGATTATATTATGGATTTTATAAAAGATCTTTGAAATAAATAAATCTAATCTTCCAATTTGAAATTTTAACTTGATATTCTTATGCATTAATATAGAGAGCAGAAAAAAATTAAAAATCGTAACTATCGATGTGAACTATTCGAGAAAATCTTAGTAATGCAAATAATTAACGACTTAATCATCAATAGATTGTAAACGTTTATAGAAAGAAAATTTTTCCAGTAAAGAAAATTTTTTTACAGAAAAACATAATAAATTAACTTTGTTAAAATTATGCCAGACACGTTTGAAGGCAGTACGGTTTCAAAGTAATCTTCCTAACTAACTCTTCTATACAGTACGTATCCTGTATGCAAGTAGATTGTATCCAAGTTTGTACTTCGTTACGAACTTCTATGTTCCTCTTTCCAAAGACGTTCGGCTTTGTTTTCAGTTAACTTGCGGAGTAACCACCAAAACTTTATACTGTTATGCTTAAGTAGTTGCTGACGCGATGTAAACTTCCAGAGGCACAGTCATTTCCTTTATTTCAATTAAAATTATTAAATCTGCATTGCCAATGATATTGAAAACTCACTCGACCGCAATAAGTTTCGATTAATGCTAATCTATAGAAAGCCTCCTTATTGAAAAATAAAACTTCATTAAGAATTGATAGCAATAACTTTCAATAATGAAGAAGAAAAAATCAAATATTTGAAATATAAGTTTTAGAGATAATTTATAATTTTTAATTTTAATAAATTTATAATATTAAATTTATAAATTTTAATAATCTTTAATTTTTAATTCTATAAATCCATTTTTTCTAATTCCTTTTTTTTTTTAATTATTTTATTTAAAATAGAAAAATTTAGAGATAAATTATATGCATATAATTTCGTTGATTCTTTATACAAATTTCTTCAAAGTATTTTTAATTATTGATATATTTATTAGGTTAATAGATCTATATTTGTCAGTCTGATTATTGAAACAAGTCAGATGTTAAAATCATTGTGATATTACATATCTATTAACTTCGTAAACATTTATTTAAGTAATTTTCGGATAATAAAATATTTATAGGGGAAATTACTACATATTTATAAACGAAACAATAATTAACATAAAATTAGAATTTATTTTCTAATATTTTTATCCTCTTAACAAAATTCTAATTATGTTTTAAATAAAAATCATAATTTATAATAGAAAATATATAAATTTAGTTTCTTCATGAGAAAGAAATGTATAATTCGAAAATAAATCAAATAATATACAAAGTTAAAAATTGATAAATATATAAGATAAATAAAATATTTTTTTATAATGTGTATTTACTGTTAAATAAATATTTGTTGATGTACAACTAATAAATATTATTATATTTATTGTATTATTTGACATTCAATAAATTTTTCATTCAAATTTTTTTACATTCAATAATCTTCACTCAAGCTAGATAATCTTCACTCTGAAGAATTGAAATTAAATGAATATAACTTGTCTTTATTTAATTGGAGTCATAATTCATGCCACGAATGTGAATATAAAAAAATATATCTGAAATAATGTTTGTTTTTTATCGATTTATAAAAGATATAATTAACTGACGATCTCTGTTAATCTTGCATATATGGCTTCATGCTTGTATAACGATGTGTACTAGATAAATATTTCATAAAGATTGCAGCATTTATATATTTATTCTATTATAATATATTTATGGTATGATGCATTACAGAAGAAATATTGAAAAATTGTTGAAATGAGAAATGAAAATATATAACAATGGATTATATAATATTTTTCAAGTGTAAAATAATCATTTATATTATATCCTTATATTCCAAACATTTTTTTTATACCTTCTGTTGGTAATATCATTAGTCATTTGTATCTACAATTTTTATTATTTTTTTTTTTATTGTTTTCAAAATATCTGAAATATTTCTGAAATAGACGCATTAAATTTTATATTATTCTATTATATTTTTATTATACAATAATTTATCCAGAAACATTTAAAAGATTCATCAATAAAAATAAAAATATCTTCGAAGAGATTCAAAAAGTGAAATTTTGCTACGCATATTGAATATTAGAATTAGACGATGAAAATTCAAGAAACGTTAAATTTTCGATTATATTTAAAATTTAATAATTCGAAAAAGAAAATTGTACAGCAAATTTTGAGAGATTTGTTATTCTACATATTTATTCTGTACATTAATTAATAAAAATAAAGTAAATGTCACAAGTTAGATCAAATGCTTTATATACTTCTTCTTAAATATATCTACGAATCAAGTAAAATTTTCACATAAATTGATTATAACAATAATCATTATCTCCTGGATAGAATGCATTAATGGATCAAAGAAAAAAAAAAAAATAAAAGGTCAACGAAAGATTCGCATTTCGAAGTAACCAGCATGCCTTCAATATCCTCGAAGTCCTCCAGAAGAATCTCAGCTACCAATGGTCAAGGTTACCGGTGTTTATGAACAAATTCATTTACGCTATGCCGCTTCGTAATATAAATACATTTTGTGCCGACCTACCAGAACTGTGGGATGTTGTCATTAACGGGTTGAAAATTTATGGAATTTATGAAGGATAAACAAGGAGGTCCCTTTACAAGCGATGCGGTTTTCAAGTAATATTGTACAGTCTGGCTTCGCAAAAGTACGCGTACTCGTTATCGCCATTTTCCTTGATGGCCGCGTCTTAATAGCCGTTGCGGATTACGTTGCGTATTTTCAATGTGAAAGTTTCACACGGTTTAATATGACCTGTTCTTCGTCTTTTCCTTGTTTCAACCCGTTGGGACTATGAAGTTTCTGTCCGTTTTGTTGGTATTCCTGGTACGTATGATATTACGTATCTGGAAGAAGACTTTTGCTGTCGCTTCCTCGACCATGAAAATTCAAGTAACGCGGGAAACTTGTTTCGCAGTTTTGGTATTTTATCTATTTGTTGATGTAATTTCTAATTTTTTAAATAAATAATTAATCTTGAAGAATAGTAATAGAAATTCTTACATTAATTTGTTTAATACATTAAATATTTGTTTAAAAATATTATAATTTTTATTTCATGCTCGCTCAATATAAATATATTCATGAAAACTAAAAATAAAGAAATATGTGATATGGTTTATTGCAACTATTTTATTTTTCGTATATATTTGTATATTTTTTACGAATATATATAAACGAATTTTAACGAATTTTTTATTAACCAAATTTAAACGAATAACTCATAGAAAAAAAT